AGCAGTGGAACCCGGTAGGAGTCACGCTGGGGAAAGTCACCCCGACGCTGTGCAGCCCCTCGGCCCCACGTGGGACCGAGGAACAGTTTAACTGAGCCGCCGTCTCAATCTGCACTATGGGGATATGGGGGGGGGGGGGGACCCTGAGAAAACTATCAGAGAGGGGCTCATTACCCAAGCTGAGAGGCTTGGACGCTCGTTAGCTCGCCAAGGCTAATGCGCCGCCAGCTAACACACACAATTAAAAGAGCTGCAATGAGAGAGACTGATGACATGATGAACGGGGATGAGAGACCTGGACGCCAGAGTCAGTGAGCAGAAAGGCAGCGTGAGGTCACGTGGCCCCCAGGTGAGTTTAAAAGCGGCCCTTTGCTGTGTGAAGTACTCGCTCTACTTCAACAGAATATCTAAACACTTCAGACAAACCCTGTAAGGAAACAAGTGTCGATTGTGTTCTAAAGACGCAGGAGGCTCAAATGAACACATGAAAGCTAGTTGACGTCTGGGGTCTTTTCCTCGGTCACTTCACTGCTCTTCAAAGGGAGCGGGAGCGTTGAGCCCCTCTGGTGTCGTCTGAGAGGACAGGCCTCCGAAGTGAGACGGATGACGGGACTCCACTCACTCAAAGTAGCAGAAGGTCGGGTAGCCTTTGACGTTGAACTCCTGCTTGAGGCCGTCAAACTCAGCCGGGTGCACATTCATCCCCGCCAGCACCTTGAGAGGGAAAGAGAGAAGCTAAATGAGCCCCGGGTCTGAAGGGAAGGTGAAGGATGCAGAAAGGACGTCATCAGAGGGCCTCCGCACAGCAAGACGGATCACAGCAAGTATGAAAAGAGACGGCTGGACGGAACGACGCTTGAATGCAGATGAGATGGTGAGAATGCGACTTTAGGGACGACGACATTCACGCCGCGCTTCCTTTCATGTAGCAAGTTAGTGAGTAAAGTTCATCGTTTTTCATCGGGAATAACATAGTATAGAATTTCACTTCATAGCCACACTGATTAGCATTAGCATGATGAAGTGCTAATGCTAGCGTGGAACCTGCATGCCAGCTACTCGATGCTAAACGTGTTTACAATGTTCACTGAGGGAATAAATCATTTCCTCAGAGGAGTCGCCCCCTGCTGGTCACTACAGAGAAGTAGAGTCATTTCCTCATAGACGTCTATGGGAGCAGAGGAGTCGCCCCCTGCTGGTCAGGAGAGAGAATGCAGCTTTGATACGTGAAGCTTTGGCTTCACTTTAAGAACCAGAGGTTGACACCTGGTCAGAAATCAAACAATAATATTCGTAACATTAATCTAAACAGTGAAAGTTCCCAGGTTCCCTCTGAGGAAGCGTTGTACAACACGCATGTTAAAAAAAGTTGAGTTCTTTAACAATGTCCTCGCCATGTAGCGCCAACAAAGACGTTTGTATTGAGAGATACTGCTGAATAAATCAAACGCCCCACATTAATCAGAGGGTTGTTCCTCCTGGTGGTAATTACTCCCTCACTACTCAAACAAACATGCAGTTGATTATCTTTGAATCCCTGCTCTGCGTGAGGCGCCTCTCCTTCCCTCCTCCTTCGCCTCCTGCTGCTCGAGGAGACGAGTTTACGTTCAACAAAGCGCCCGCTGCTTTGGAGCCAATGATATAACATAACATGGCCGCCGTTGTGACGGGGGGGGGCGACCCGGAGTCCACATGGCCTCAACAGGTGAGAAACACATGAAAAACCAAGAGGCAGCGCGTGGAGGTCACCGGGGGTCAGAGAGACGAGCTGCAGACACTCAGTGCTGACACGTGTCACCGGGGGGGGGGGGGGAGAATTACGTATTTCCCCCTGGGCCCTGTAGCTGCTTGCTGGAAGATGGGCTGCATCCGCTTACACACTCCGCACCCTGAGAGAAGCAGAACCTTTACGACTGAACCATCAGAGCCAAGACGACGCCTTAAACGTGACTGTTTCCTGATATTTTACAGGCAAAAATATTTGCAGTAAAAATAACAGACTAATAGTGAAAATACATACAATTCTTTATGACAGAGCGTCTAAAGAAGGGAAGTGTCCAGTATGTTGCTCTGTACCACTCGTCTCCGTTGCCGTGGACAACGGAACATGATTAGAAAAGAAGAGGACTCACAGGGAGCGTAGAACATGAGGAGGACCGGCCTCTCCTCTCTCTTCAGCAGCTTCCTGAAGTCCTTCAAAGCAGAACAAAAGACTCAGTATATCAGTAGATATAATATATACACACACACATATATAACATGCATGGGTTGTCTCAGCAAGTTGTTTGACTGATTAGGAGCGAGCGAGCATCACGGCCGGCTCCTCTTCACCTCCTCCACATTCAGCACAATCCTGCAGCGACTCCTTTGAAGAGCCTTCAGGCAGGAGAGATGTCGGTTCAATCAGAGCCTGTGGAGCAGCTCTTTGATGGTGAAGCCTGATACGACTCCGTGTTCTAGAGGTGGACAAGCTGCGGAGTCGGCTGCAACCTGCCGTCCCTGCAGGACTTGTTCGCTTCCAGGACCCTGAAGCAGCTAGAAAGATGGTGGCCGACCCCTCCCAGCCCTCGGTCTTGGTGCATGAACTCCCTCCTTAATGTCCTCCCTTTGTTCCCCAGGGAGGGTTATGTGAGGGCTTCGGGACAGACGATGTTTCATGTACGGACTGTAAAGACCTCTGAGGCTCATTTGTAATATGTGATTTTGGGCTGGAATGATGCTCAGCGAACAGGTGAGCTCAAAAGGGTGTTCAGGCCACTTCTTACTTTCTCTGTCTCTATGTGGACGACGTCTTTGGCCTCGGGGTTCTCCTCCCACAGCGAGGGTCCTGACGGGTCCTTCAAGAACGCTACCATGGACTGAAGGAAGAAAAGGCGGTTATGTAATAAAGTAATAGAATCAACAGCTCGAGAGTAAAAGGAGCTCAGCGGTTATTTCCGATATTACATTGATGATATTAAAGGAAGAGAAACAGCATTTCTGCATTTCCCTTAATTGCTCCTCCACAGCGGGAACGCAGCAGCAGACTAAGTGGACTCGGTGAGCCTAGTGGACGCAGGAGCACCCACCTTGAAGGTGGCCGGCCGGTTGTACTCCGTGTGGAACGTCCCGTCTCTGAAACAGCCAAGAGGTCAGCGGGTCAGAGCTGTGCAGAGGGCCAATCGGACGCCTCGGCGCCGTACTCACTTGTAGTGAAGCAGCTCTGCTCCTCCACGCCTGGAGCCCGGGTCCACCTTCACCTTCTTACAGAGCTTACGGCCCTCTGGGTCCCTGAGAGGAGGAGGAGGCTGTCAGAATAGTCTGGAACTCATGATCATCATCATCCACGTGGCCGTTGATAGAGTGATGTGAGACTACTTGACAAATCCATGCAACACTGGTCCTCTACACCAACCAGTGTCCCTTTAGACCTGGTCCTCTACACCAACCAGTGTCTCTTTAGACCTGGTCCTCTACACCAACCAGTGTCCCTTTAGACCTGGTCCTCTACACCAACCAGTGTCCCTTTAGACCTGGTCCTCTACACCAACCAGTGTCCCTTTAGACCTGGTCCTCTACACCAACCAGTGTCTCTTTAGACCTGGTCCTCTAAACCAACCAGTGTCCCTTTAGACCTGGTCCTCTAAAGAGACTGGTCCACAGGGGAGTGGAAGGAGGAACTAGTATCTAACGCTACTGATTGGTTGTTTACAATGTCACATGATCAGGTAGAGAAACATCGGTGACGTCATCATTTTCTTCTCAACGTTGGAGGTGAAAATCTGTGACCTTTGTTTCTAATTGTGGAATCGGATGGTTTGAATAAACCTCTGACTGCAGAGATGATTTAATGCCTCTCCTGCTGACTCAGGGGGGCAGATGGCCCCGGCCGGGGGCACCGGGAGCAGATGTGATCTCCACACGTATGTGAAGGAGGCGCTCAGTCATCCGACAGAAAACCAGTCTGCTCCTTGTAGAAGCACAAAGACTGTGGACGTTAGAGCCTGACCAGGAGAACCCATAACGCAACACAACCGGCTCGGTTACTCCAGGGAGAAGGTCGACCCTTTCACATTCTCAGCTGGACACGCAGCGGCGTGCGCGCGAGGAGGAGGAGGAGGAGTCACGCGTCACTGACCCACAGTTGACCCAGGCGATGGTCCCCTGGCCCTTCACTGCCTGGGCCACGTCCGATAGCAGCTTCAGGTGGGAGTCCCCCGACGAGGCTGCAGACACAGAACAAACGCCGGTCACCAAACCCCGTCCCCCCCGTCCCCCCGTCCCCCCACCGGACACAGAGGACACTGTGGAGTGGACACACAGGGGAGACGAGTCGAGTTCCAGGCTTACAGGGGAAAGAGATCAGTTCTGGGTGGAGGGGGGGGGGGGGGGGGGGGGGGGTTGAGTTACATCAGCTTTCAACATGGTACAATAATACAATAGCGTAGCTCAGCAGGGGGGAGGGGGGAGCATTGGGGGGAGGAGGGGGAGGGGGAGGTTTGGGAGGGGGGTTTATCATGTGAGCGACTGCAGCTGATGTTCTAGAGACATACGCCGCTTTTATTCCCCGGGGGCCTTTCTTAATTTACAGGCAGGGTAAAACAGGGGTGTCATGTGACTGACTGTGATGTCTCCATCACAGCAGAACGTCAGCAGCGCTCTTGTGGGGGTTGTATGATCGTGGTATGTTGTGGCGTCACATGTGACGACCGGAGGGGGCAGAACCGCTACAGACCCCCAATCAGGGTCTAATGCCCCTGAGAGGGTCCGTATCAGAGGGTCCGTATCAGAGGGTCCGTATCAGAGGGTCACCTGGAGTCTCTGACCTGTGTTGGTGTAGAGCACCAGGACGTTGGTCCTCGTCCTGAGCAGCTTCTTGAAGTCTTTGTGGTCACTGACCTTCTCTATGAGAGGAGACACCTTCACCGCCTCCAGCAGCAGCCCCGCCTGGTGCAGCACACACACACACACACACACACACACACACACACGTTTAACAAAAGCCTTTGTCAAAGGATCATTTCTCTTCTCCGGGCTCGCTGTACGCCACTGACATGGCGGCTGGCTGGCTAGCTAGCGGGCTAACTTAGCGGCGTTCCAGAATGTACCGTCATGTAACCCGATGTGTTCCACTCAGCGACATCCTGGTAACAAACACAATAAGCGGCGTGACGGATCGCTGTCAGGTTTGCTGGTCTATCTGGGGAGACCCGGGACGCGCCGGAGGGATTTCATGTCCCCCCGTGCTGGTCCACCACCCGGGCACTCAGATACGGCGTGACGGGGGGGTCCAGTCCGTTGGACTACGGTCCTGCCCGACCGGATGAGCTGTGGTTTATTTGGTGACCCACTGACCTGAATGAATGAAAGTCGGATATTTACGCCGTGAACTTTAATGCGGGTCAGCGGTAAACGCCGCCCGGCTGGAATAAACCTTCAGGGGCCCTTTGGCCCTTTGGCCCCGTTATAAACTTAAGAACGTCTCGAGAAGCGAAGCAGCTTGACAGACGTTGTAGTGACAGATTCTGGGAGGATGCAGGAGAAGATCCTGGTCCTCACTCGCTCACACGGAGATCGCAGGCCTTTCGTTTCTTTGGGTGACGTTCCCGTCTACTGGTTTGTATTCTTTATAAACACACTCGTGAGTACGCATTGGCTTCCCGATCGCACCGTCACACTCGCATCATCACCTGTGCACTATTCTATCACGCCGCCACCCGACGCCGTGACGTAGACCTTAGATTTAAGGTGCTGTCTATGGACACTTTTAGTTTCAATGACAATCATCCGTAGACTCATAAACTATTTCACGACCTTCATACAAACCCTGTGAGAGCAGAAAAGAGTCACGAGTTAAATGTGCTACGAAGAAACAAAAGGTTGAATATCCTGTAAACTATTTGATCTGAAGAACATGTTTAGCTTAATTGTCCCTTTGCGTTAAACCTGACGCGTGTAAATACTGTTTCATCAGCGAGCTATCTGGGACGGTCCCGTGATGGAGTGGGAACTAAGCTTAATGCGTTGAAACAAAGCCCCTATTGAGCGCGCGGCGCTTTGATCACGTCCGGGGGACTAATCGCGCTGCAGCCGCACGGGGAGTTGGCTCGCCGCGCGGCGCCGGTCTCGTGCCGTCAGCATCCATTAAGCAGCTCTTCCTTCCTGCTCACGGAGGACTGACTGAGACAGCGAGCCGGCCTGGTGACGGATGTCACCCGCAATGGAAACGAGCACCCGTCGGCCTCGTTTCCTCGCGCTGAAGCCCCCCCCCGAGGGCGGGCCCGGCTACGCAGAGAGCGCGGTTCACGCCCATCTGCTTGGACTGGATCCGGTTCGTTTGGTTCGGGGCCGAGCGGACAGCTGGCCATTAGGCCGAGGGGGCGGAGCCTCTGATTGCACGCTTAAACATCTAGTAGAGTTGTTGTCCTGCTGAGCGTGCTGCTGGTTGAAGATGTCCTTCAACGTTCCGGCAATGAAGAAAAGGGACGATCTGCAGCCGGACCGTGGACCCCGATGTAAATCACCCAAACATCAACGGCGTAAACGCAACCTCGTGGTGGCACATCGCTCGCGTCCCGAACAGGAACACTGGTGGCAGACATTTCAAAATAAGGGCCTCATACGGAGCAGACACAAGCCTTTGATGCCGTTGCCACGCCGACGCCACGTACGGCTTTTGCATACAAAGCGAACAAACAATAAAACATGATTTATTATTGTAGTGTTTCTACTTCTCATGACTTGGTGACAGGAGCAGATGGCTGCTGTTATTTAAGTGATAACAAAAAGAGCTCCATGCATTTTCACACAGCGCGGACGTGGCGCTGATGATGACCCAGCGGTCCAACACTCTCAGGAGCACCTGCACGACGGGCTTCTCCCCCTCGGACCACAGGATTCAACCAGGAACCCAAACCGCTGCTAGAAGGTGCGTTTTGGTAACTACACTAAAGCCCCTGTCCTCGGCACATTTATGTAACGGTTCTAAAAGCTCATGTTCATGTTATTTATAGGTGGCGGCTCCACTAGAAGCTCTTCACCACAGCTCAACAAAGGATGGGTTCAGTGACAAAGGCCGAGAATATTCTGGATCCACTCAGCGATGGAAATGAAGCCGCGTTTCTATGGATTCAAGGGAACCGAGCTCATGGGCATAATGGAGCAGGAGACCTTCTTCATGTGGAGACCCTCTGATCCCAGGTGTTCTCTCGCCGTTGATTGGTGCATCCTTAAAGCACAGGTCACTACTGGAGAGGAGATGATGAGGAAGACGAGGAGGAGGCGTGACGTCGTCTCATGCTCATCGGAATATGAACGTGTGAACATGAATGTTGATTGTCATTCGTAAACAGATCAGTAGACGCATCCCGAAGCCTCTGCAGATAAGAAGACCAGCTGCAGCTTCATCAGCGCCCTCCTACAGCACTTTGCTGATTCTCGTTGTTCTGCCGGCGTTCCCCCTCGATCGAATGCACGTGTTTGAAGTCTTCAGCTAGACGATGAAAGCAAAGTGCAAAGTCCTTGTTTTCCAGAATAACAAATATTATGTTGATGTGGACCACAGCTACCTGAAGCTTCTCCTCCATCAAATCACACCGAGCCGGAGACCAACCGCGGATCCATCGGCGTGCCACGCATCCACCTTCCTCCGCCCGCCACCTCGCTGAGCTCAAGTAAACACAAACAAACAATGCGTGTGTACGACCTCCGGCTGCTTCACAAAGACAAGTTCACGTCTAGTGGTGAATCAGTAAAAACTACACCGGCTTTGACTCACTGAGGAGCAACCAACTAGAAGCTTCAGGAGACGGGTCACTAGACACAAAGCACCGAGGCCACTGGTTTACGTTTGATATCAGAGCTTGTTTGACATAATAGTTGTTATGTTGGATCAGAAGACCAACGAGTCGGATCGGCACAAAACAACAAATCAATGGAACTTGTTTCCTTCTCATTGTTGCTTCTTGAGGATCCCTTCGTGGTTTGATTATAGCATCTGGCCCACGAGGAGACACAACGTTCTGCTGCGTTGTTTGAAACAGATCATCTTTGGCGTTGGACTAAACATTCACACCAGAAGGGTTTCGTCCTCCAAGTCGACGAGTCGTCTCCTCAGAAGCTTTGATCCAGTCAGAGTGTATTTCCACGGTGGAGAACCGAGGACAAGCCAAACACCACCAGAGTTCCTCCTCCAGCGACTGTTATCTCATTCAAAATGTTCTGCATTATTACTTCTATGTGGAGCCATCTGGGTGATCCAATGACCGTTCGACACTGAATATCGGTTTTGACTGTAAAAATAAAAATCAATTGGCGCTTTTTAATAAGGCAGAATTTACATTGAGGTGTAGAGAGCCGTGGCCAAGTGGCAACAAGTCAAACAGTTCCACGCCACAATCAGTACGCACGCACACCCGAACACACACAAACTCCACCCGTGTTTGCTGAAGCGGACGCGTGACGGGAAGCCGTCCGGTCTGCTGAGGACGCCTCGCTACGAGGAGGCCGCTTTATGAACCGACGAATGACACGACGCGTCCTCGTCGTGGCGTGAAGCACTTCAGGTGACCTCTAGGAGGACCTGTGTGGAGAACGTCCACACGTCTCTCAGGACCGAGGTTCTCAAAGGTGTGAGGAGCTTCTACGCGTTGGGGGATTTCACTGTCAGTGGGAAACTAATAAATTCCTCAGGATTTATTGATTATTATACGATAAATATCTTGATGAATTTGAAAAAAGAATGTTATACAATTCATGCAAAACATTTGAAAGTGTACTCAGCACACAAAAAGCTTTTAATGTAGTATATTATTACACTTCTTCACGAGGTGAAGGTGTGCAGCATATGGACAGAGCACAAACCGTTCCTAATAAATAAGTTTACTGAATATACTGAAGCGACTCTCACTAATGAAGCTCCGGACAACTTGCCCTTCATTAAGAAACAGGCCACTGAACAGAACAGAAACAACCGCGTTCCGTTACTTAACCCCACCGCCGCCGCCAACATCACCACACACACAGGTCGGTTGGATGATGGTGGTGATGGTTGTGGTGATGGTGGT